CCCATCCCGTCGCCCATCCCGTCGCCCATCCCGTCACCCATCCCGTCGCCCATCCCGTCACCCTCCCGTCACCCATCCTGTCGCCCTCCCGTCGCCCTCCCGTCGGCCGTACCGTTGCAAAAAAGAGTTAGCTTCCCTCAGCTTCTCCAAGACCTGCCTGAGATGACCCTGATCTCTAATCGCTTCGATCTTGCTATCTTCTGGCTTAACGCCGTCTCTGTCTAAGACGTGGCCTAAGTACAAAACTTGGGTTTTTGCCCAATCGCACTTCTTTGCATTGATCTTGAAGTTAGCTTCCCTCAACTTCTCCAAGACCTGCCTGAGATGACCCTGATGCTCTTCGAGGGTCCTACTAAATACTAGAATGTCATCTAGATAAACTACAACAAATCTGTCTAACCACGGCCTACACAAATCGTTCATACATCGCTGGAACGTAGCCGGCGCATTGGTTAGTCCAAAGGGCATCACTATGAACTCATAGTGCCCATATCTAGTCCGGAAGGCTGTCTTATACTGATCATCAGGATGCACCTCTATCTGATGATATCCGAACTTCAAATCTATCTTAGAAAAATACTTCGCCCCCTGCACTCGATCTAAGAGATCGTCTATCCTAGGCAGTGGCTCAGCGTTTTTTACTGTAATAGCATTCAGACCCCTATAGTCTATGCACATCCTCAGCTCTCCCTCTTTCTTAGGGACAAAGAGAACAGGCGCTCCAAACAGAGACGAACTGGGCCTAATCCAACCCTTCTCGAGGAGCTCGTCTAACTGCTTGCGAAGCTCCTCTAATTCCCGTGGGGACATCCTATACACAGCGCCCTTAGGAGTTCCACTGTCAGGCTCGATCTCAATACGGTGCTGGATGGGCCGCAGTACTACTCCTATCGGCGGCTCAGTTAAATCCTTGAACTCCTCCAGCAGCTTGGCAATTGTAGGGTCCATCGACTTTTCTTCCGTAGGCTCAGTCACTAGCCTAACATAGGCAACAAAAACCTGTTCCTCCAATTTCTCCTTTTTCACCAACCTGGTGAACGCAGGAGCACTAAGACAGCAATGTGCCAAGGAATTCTCTACTCCTGACACATGGAACAGGCGGGCAGTCTCGGCCTCGCCTGAGGAACTAGGGAGCCTACACTCGTGCTCCTTCAAATGGAGTGTGGCCTCGGCTGCCTCTCCCCAATCCATTCCCAGGACAATATCAAATGGGAGGTTGTCTTCTACGAGGAGAGTCAGGGAGTGGAGGACCTTCTCCACTTTCCCATTCTTCTCTAGGTGAAAGTACGCCTGGACTCCCTCTACATACTCCTCTACAACCATAGTCCGATTGTCTGCGAGGATACTAACCATAGGGTCTGCTAGCTTTTGGACTTTAAGTCCCAGCTTCAATTTCTGCAGCGCTTTCTTACTAATATAGCTGCGGGTGGCCCCTGAGTCTACTAGGGCCCCTACTCTACCTCTAAAAATCTCTGTATCTAGTAATATATGATGCCCTTTATTCTCCTTTCTCATCTTGGCCCAGGCGGGCATCCTATCCTTCAACTCTTCGGCCACGCCTGTGAGGGAGGTGTCTAGCGAAACTCTAACACAAGCAGTTTCGGGACAGCTGTCTAGACACCGGCCTGCAACCTCTGCCTTAGGCACATGTGGTGTGGGAGTCTCCTGCCGGCTAGCGCTATGTTCCCCACATGGCCTAGTGGTAGGGGCAGTTGCTACCCCTACCGGCGGCTGCCTTTTGGCCCCTGGGCAGCCGTTCGGGTCTCTCGATACTTAGGACAGTATTTGATGATATGGCCCGGGTCACCGCAGAAAATGCACTGGCCCCGGTCCAATCGTTGTTGCCATAACGTCTGGTCCAGACCCAAAGTTTCCCAAGGCCTACCCTGCGGTAGCCTCGGGTGCCATCCTCCTACCCTATAGGGAGACCTGTTCCTAGGACGGTTTGCGGGGGACCTTGACCCCTGCCTCCCGCTTGGCAGTTTCCTCCTCGGCCGCCAACCCCCTGATCGCCCTGAAACCGGCTCCCTGAGGCCCGACCCCCTTGGCCCTGGCCTCGTCCTCCTTGCGGCCTCCCTCCAGCCGCGACAGTAGCATAAGTCCTCCCTTGGCCCACACCGTTGTCATCCTCCTCTAACCCCCACTCAATCTGGTCGTAGGGGATCTCATCCACACTACCCTCGTCTAGAGTTAGGACAAGGCTATCCTTAGTCTTCACTTGCCCAGAGATAGTGCGGCCCTTCCATTGCTTTCCCTTATCCAAGTCTTTGTGCCAGAAGGTAGACACAGATGCTGACTTGGCTTCAAAGGCCACCACTTCACGACTAAGAGAATCATACGTAGTGGCCGGATCTTCGCTCTTCGCGAAGAAGTGCCCTCGCAAGGCTTCGGGGATAGCCCGATAGAGGAGGCCGACCAATTGGGTGTCTGTGACCCCATGGTCAGGAACAACGATTAATTCATCCATCGTGCTTTTGAGTGCCCTGGCACTCTTCCACTTACGAGCGTGGATTGTCTGGAGCCTATCTGAGGCCTTGACACTTCGAGCGACATCTACAAATCGCTCGCACAGCAATCTCATGAACTCAGTGAGGGAATTAAATGCCGAATAGGCAACAGGATCGTCACTGCAGTTGGCAGCGCGAACAAGGGATCTTGCGAAACTGGCGGCCTCATCTCTAAGTGCGTGGATCGCAATTAGAACTTGCTGATCCGGGGAGACCTGTTGCAAATGCTCGTACTAATTGCGATGATTCACCTCGGATCCTATCGCTCCTACCAATTCGCGAGCAAAGTCCCGAAACCCCATTCGTATGGAGCGCACAGCCATGTCCTGACTTCGACTAAAATCGTACTGTTGTTCTTGTATCTGGGCTAAGCGCTCGACAGTCTGGGCAATGAGTTCTACCTTTTTCTCAAGGTCTACCTGAGGGGTCAACCTCAGGGTTAGTTGTTGCATCTCCCCTAGGTCTTTGACCGCGTCAATCGCCGCGTCCACTTTCCTCTTCTTTTCCCTCATCACTCTCAGCTTCCACTCCATCCTCGTTTCATCCTCCATTGCCTGCCGCCTCACAGCATCCCTTTCTGCTTCCCACTCCTTCATAGCGGCTTCCTGCTCGTCCTTGGGGATATACATGGCTACCTCTTCTTCTTCTCCCAGGGACAAGCTGGCGACCCACTCTGAGATCCGCTTCTCCATCTCATCATCTTTGCTGCCACTGTACTGCCCTCGCTGTTCTCTTCTCCTCTCCAGTGGCTGATCATCTTCCTCCTCTTCTTCTTCCACCTCCTTCAACTTTGCTTCCTCCTGTTTCTGTATCCTCTCCTTCTCTCTAGCCATCTCTTCTTCTATCTTCTTCGTCGTGTCTTCTTGTTGCAGGTGCGCGGCGTCTTCTTCCACCTCGAGGTCCGCTATGGCGGACTGCCTCCTCCGGCGGTCACTTCAGCTATGGCTCATCGGCCCTGCATACGACGCGCGCGTGGAACAGCGGGTACCTGCTCCGATACCAGTGCAATCAGACTCGACTTATTCACTCTTTTCATGCACGTGAACAGCAACATACAACTGGCGACCTGTGCCCACACAGTACACAGAGATATGTCTTCCAGGTAAGTTCCCGTCCACTGGCTATGGCGACTAAGCGCCCAGACAACTCACTGTTCACACTTCGGATCACCCTGGATGTCCCACACGCTACACTCGGTAACCACACGCAACACACACACGCACTACTACAGCTATGGCAGCGCTAGCTGCCACTACCCTATGGCTACACTACACTTCTCTGCCCACTTCGTCTTCGGGCGCACTGCAGACCTCCTCGCACAAGCTGCTGAGGCAGCGCTTCCGCATGGCATCGACAGGAATGAATGAATGGCTGGACGCAGTCTCTTGATTTATACTTCTGCGCTGCGTTGGTCTGCCCTGTGTCCCTTGGCCCTTGGTGCACACAGTCCCAGACGGTACTTGCTGAACAGGACCGGACTGCTTAACTGGGACTGTTGACTCAGCGAGGTGGCCTACCACCACTTGACCACTTTGCCTCTGTTCAAAGCAGGTCTACTCCGAAAGGCCACTTCTAGAAGCCTCTGACTTGGCCTTTCGGTACTGTAGCAGCTACGATTTTGCCCCTTCAGGTAAGTAGCAGCTACGACCTTGACCCTTCAGATATCCTACAGCTGCGACTTCGGAACTGTCTAGACTCCTACGCTACAGGTCTACAGTTCGATTCCCTTCTACCCTGTGACCTACGACAATCTACCTACCACTGGCGTTCCTACAGGTCGCAGGTTCAAATCTACGGGTTGGCATCAATACTGTACACAGGTAAGACGGGGAACTAGGGATCGAGCCCTGGGACCTGCATTCGCTACTGCGAACTGGTGAATACCGTTTCACTGGCAATGGGGCAACTCCGCGGACGTCTTCGAGGTGAGCAGAGAACAGGGCTGACCTCCAAGGCAGGACGGCAATGGCACAGGGCTGACCTCCAAGGCAGGACGGCGATGGCAGCGGAGCGGGCCAGCAGTTCGACGACAACTGTGGCAGCGGACGTCTTCACGCGGTACTTCGGAAGGCCAACCTCCTTGATTTGGAACAGGGTACTCCCGCCAGCGGGCCTACCACAGCGCTTCAAGCCTTGAAGCCAATCTGAAAAATTGAAAATTCAAATTTCACGAACAGGCTCCTTCAAGGCCGGTCCGGTTGGGGTTCCCATTCGAAAAAAAAGGCGCCAACATTTTTCCAGGGTACCCCTGACCTCGGAGAACGGGCCGGGGACCCCAAAAAAAATTTCGGAATTTCTCTGAATCGGGGCCAAACCGGACCCCGCCAACCGGACTCCGGACCCGGACATGGGACGCGGACAGTCCGGATCCCGATCCGGACGTCCGGATCCCGATCCGGACGTCCGGATGGTAACTATGGTTAAAACTCGACAATCCAATCTCCGCTCGGCAGCATGTTATGGTGGATCTTGATCAACTTATCCATTGCTTTCATTTCCGGCGGCTCGATTTAAAACCCCTTATGCCACGGTGCCTTCAGATCAGCCCAGCTGATCTTGGTGTGTAAGGCGAAGACCACCACTTCGTGCGTGGACAACAGATTGTCCAACCATGCTTGGCACACACCCCCTGATCGGGAGTACAAACACGCGTGCTTCTTGGCTTCGCTCGTGTGGTGGAGCTCTAACTTGAGCTCGAACTGGCGGAACCATGGGATTGGGTCCGTCTTCATGGGGTCGCCAAAGATCTCGTCCATCGAACTTCGGAATTGACTCGCGTGCTGACGTGCTTGGGCCAGCGTTGGCAGTGCAGATCTGCCGCTCCAGTTGTTGAGTAGTCGCTTGCTGTGCCCGTGCGCCTTCCGTGAGCGTTCCGACGTCGATCTCCAAGGTGTCGAGGCGATCGGCGGTGTTGGAGGAGCTGGCGACGGGGGCGGCGACAGGCCGTTGTTCCAGCTGTTGTAGACGGTTGTTGACCTGCTTGACCTGGTCGTCGAGGCTATGGATATCCTCCTGTTGTCCAATGCACGTTGCCAGGAGGTCCGTGAGGTGGGAGAGCAATAGCGAGATTCGTCCTCCGCTGCCGCTGAGTTCGCCACCTTTGGTCTCGGTTCGCCATGCCGCTGCCATAGTGAGCAAAGCTCTTTCGTCACTGAACACCTTCTCGCGTTGTTGACTGCGTTCTTCATGGGCAGCTTTGCTGCTGCCTCGTCGTGCTGGCGCTGCTGTTCTACCGCCAGCAGACGTGCCTTCTCGACATCCTCTGCCTTCTGCTTCTCTGTGTCTGCTACCACATCCGACCGTTGCTTGGCTTCGGTAATCAAAACCAGCATCCGGGCCTGATAGGCTTCGGCGGTTTCCCCTGGCTTCTGGTCCATGGTGGCTGTTTGAGAACGCGTGAGCATAGACCAGGCCGGAGGGGGTTGCTGACGTGGCATGGCTATCGGCTGACGTGTCGCTGACATGTCACTGCTGACGTGGCCTGCTGACGTGGCCTGCTGACGTGGCCTGCTGACGTGGCCTGCTGACATGGTCTGCTGATGTGGCCTGCTGACATGGCAACTCACCAATGCCGCAGTACGGGGTACCCGGAATCAGATGCAGAAGAGAAGACCAGAGGGGGCAACAACATAGGTGGGGTGGGTGGGATTGATTGCCCAGATAAGGAGCCACTAATGAAAAATAAAAGTTTGAACTTTGCAAAAGAAATTCGAGAAAATAAAAAAAATACTCGATTACAAGTTCAGGAGGCCTCCCAATTCCCCTCAAATATGAAATAATTAATAATAATAAAAAAAACGAATTTTCAGACTGCAAATGAATAATGATAACGGTAATAATGAATAATCTGAAACGGTATTCACCAGTTCGAAGTAGCTGATGCAGGACCCAGGGTTCGATCCCTAGATCCCCAACTTACCTGTGTACAATATCTGTGACCACTTGAAGAATTGAACCTGCGACCTGTAGAACCGCCAGTGGTAAGTAGGTCTGTCGTAGGTCCTTAGGTAGCCAGGATTTGATCCATAGACCTGTAGAGTAGAAGTCCAGCTGCAGTCCTTCTAGAAGGTTGGCAAGTGGTCAAGTGGAGTGACTAAAGCAAGCCCATATTGGAGACGAGGA